ATACGTATACGAGGTAAAGCCGATACTTGTCGGCATCTGACGCAGCGGCGTGTATCGCGGTGTGCGTTGCCCGATACAATATTATCCACGAAAACACTTGACTGCGAAACGACTTCCAGGGAGAATAGCAGCTGGTGTGGCAGTTTGCCGCGGAAAAGAAACTTAACGCAGCACGCTCTAGACACGTTTTTTCCATACTACGAGAGCAAGGCACGCTCCAAAACCATTCAGAATGCGAATATACGATGCGATGTGTTATCGAGCTTCGCCTTTACTTCGCCAATTTTCTCGTCGCCACGCATACACAGTGTAGTCATTTTGCGAAAAACGTTTCGCAAATCTTTGTCGTTGATGAAAGAGAGCGCTGGCTCTTTATTAATTATTTTGAATGCGGTAATATATCCATTATATGCTATAATGCTGTTTAATATTATATATTGATATTAATATTACATTTGTGCCAGTAATATCTACTATTGCAGGGTCTCTATATTCTTTCTTTAGTAATTATCGTTTTATCATAAAATTCAAAGAGTTTAAAATTAATAACGTTACATCAAACTTTTACAATAAAATGAAGTATTAAAATAATTAATATATCGTACAATAAACATTATCTCTAAAATATAATGTAATAATATTGACGTTTTACGATAACATAATTTTATAATATATAAATACTATTTTACAATAAAATAATTATATTGTACTATTAATTTTATAATGTACATAATCTAATAATTATTAGCCTAACAAAATTAATATTATTTATTAGTGTTATTATATTAATAACCAATAATTTCAAAATATTATTTACTTGTTATTATATTATTTCCAAATCTTGCTTGAATTACGAGCCTTTCCTTCTAGAACTTAGAATATTAGAAATCTAATTGTAAGACTACTGGAATGATAGCTTGCTTAATCGATCTGGATAACGTTCAAATGTGTTCGCGTTGATGACGAAATCAATATGTGGGCGATTATCGGGAACAACTAAAGCTTTCTATACATCGCAGAAGGCTCGCACGTTATCGGACTTATTGAATTCCGGGCCGTCTTTGTAAGCTCGTCCGGAGACGTTGGATGGGATAAATGCGGTGGCGGCTGTCAGAAAAGTCAGAATACCCCGGGGATGGTGTGCACAGTTCAGAAGAAGCGGCGAGGAGGATGGAGGAGAAATCGAGAGTGATGAGGGGATGGAGAACCAGTAAGATTAAGAAGATGGAAGAAGAGATGAGAGAGACAAGAATGAAGGGGTGAGAAGAGATGAGAGTTTTGCGGTACGAACAGACAGGCTAGTCGGTAGGATGAGAGGATGAAGGAAGGGGGTGGGAAGGGAGCAAGGAGGATAGATTGCCGGTGTCAGGATTAGAGGCGTCTCCATAGATCATAGAGGATACGTTTTGAATAATTTACCCGGGCTATCTGTTTCGCGCGGTAAAGTGAGGGTCGCCGAAGACGATGTCAAGGTTGCGATGAGATTGAGTTTAGTTCCAATCACGAGAAAATTGCGATCAGCGACTCGGAACGCATCTTTTGGCGATAGGGGTGGTGCAGATTGGTAGAGAGATTGAGAAGAAATGATCTGTGGAGTTTTCTATGCGATTAAAGATATCGGGACTTACAGAAAGTACGATTTTGAAGGGCGTTATGTAATCTTGATAGGAAGCAGGAAAATCAATTTGTCGAGAATTACTCTAGTATTATCCCTCTAGTATTATAAAATATATAAACAAATATAATTTTTTTAATGTAAATGTGTGTGCTGCGATTTCCTGAATACTTTATTAATAATCTTTTGTTTCAATATTTATTAAAATGTATTTATAAAATTGAATTTATGAATATGTGCATTTATATTATTACTTATTATGAATATTAAAATTTTTGTGAGCAAGAATATATTACAATTTTTTATAGACATTTCATATACATTTGCTTCCATTTTGTAAATTTTTTAAAAATTCAACATTAGACACATATACATACTGTACAGATTCACATTCATAGTTAAACAAATTATTTACATACTTTGTCCTTTTAGGATAATTTTACCTAAAAACGAAAAACTGCTGTTTCAAAAGTTCAAAATATGTTATTTTATTCTGGAAAATGTAGTTTTTGCGTAGCAGCATACCTCTTTTAAAATTATATTTTTATTTTATGTAAAATTCTCCCAGAATGGTTAAAAAATTTAAATATTTTTTTTCCCCCTATATTCATATATCTCTTTCATTAGACATCGGATTCACATTTATTCAAGCTATTATTAGCATGACACCTCGTAAATTAAAAACGCGAACTCAAACTGAAACTTAAGATCAGTGCGAGGCAGATGAGAGACGCAGATAAGACTTTTAGAGACAACCATTTTTGTTTACAATTTTGCAGCGCTCTGTAATGATATCGTACACATCTTTTGTCCGCTCTTATTGTCGTTTCATCTGTATTCTCGTCAGAAGGAGAAAGTTCGAGAATAAAATATGAGCATTACGAGCAATGGTTCCCCAGCCTCCATCTGAAGAAGCCGCGAAGCTCTTGGCGCTCTTATCTTAATTCGAAAACTTTAGCGAATGGCGACACTGGCTTCTGTTTAATGAGCTTCGTTAGTTGTGATCCTCTATAAAATATATCCCTTTCATACCGCATTTCCTTTTTTAATAAAGACAATTTTCCTGTAAAGTAAATAAAAGACGATTTTCCTACAATTGCATTATAATCGATTATTATATGTATATTCAATATCAAGATTGATTCTATTTTCTAAAGAACTAAGTTAAGAGAAAGTCAAAATGACTTTATTTTGAAATTCAAAATGATGATTTTTTTGTTACAAAATTTGACTGTTTATTTTGACTTAAGAGGAAATTAAGTTAAGAATTAAATTAAAGTTATTCTGATTTTTTGTTGACTTTTAATTGTGTGTTCCTTAGGACAGACCAAATTATTTGTGTAAGACCGAGAATTGAAAGTCGTAAATCTCGTATATTAATTGGAGTTAAATTTCTCCTGTTAAAAGCTGCTTGAAACTTTGGAGATTACGCTAAAAGGGCACTGCTAATTATGTCACGCCCAAGGTCTTCGCGTGTCACGATCCGCCGTTGACAGAAGGAAGCCAAGAAGGGAGGGGGAGATTATAAGATCCGAGGGAGAGGGGATCTTCGGCTTACTTCACAGCAGTTACGCCCAATGAATGACGTCAGGTGCGTACGTGTAGTACGGCGGAACGCGCGTTATTCGTTCGCTCCGAAAAGAAACCGAGAGAGCGACGTAACGATGATGCGCAACGATATCACGATTGTGTTGTGCGTGTTGTTGTTGTTCGTCACAACAGGTGAGACTTTCCAAACGAAGATCCAAGAAAATAAATCGAAAGAAAAATGTGTCTAAAAGTATCTTGATGAATCCACCTGCGATCGCCATTTTGAAATCAAATATGTGTTTCATTCTTTGTATTGTTTACGGATGGGCGTGAAAATTTTTCAACGACTGAATGAGGGATCTTCAATTATTTTAATCAGCTTTAACCGATTTATCTGAGAATACTCAAACGTCGTAGGTTTTAGAAAATATAAAAAGATACGTGAAGAGAGATATGAATAAATATAAAAATATATTTATATTTTTTTCCCGAGGGATATATTTTATTATAATTAAATTATTGTTAAAAGAAACGGAATAATAACAAAGCAAATTTAATATTTCTCTGCAAAACTGTAGAAAAGAGATTAACACTGATAATATAAAAGTATTTTTTGTATATTAATAATTTCTAGGTTAGGAATTGAGGTCTATTCCATCAATTACTCCAGTCATAATACTTCAAATACGACTACTTTACTGCAATCAAATTCTTCAGATTAGTCATCGGGATTCTGTTTTAATTGCCCTAATTAAATACGTCAGGTCAACTCGAATGTGTGATTAATGCCGTCATGTTATTTGGGAATGTGCAGGTACTAAGGCGATACGCTGTTTTCAATGCAGCTCCGACACTGATCCAGATAAGGAAGATCTTTGTGGAGCCTACACAAAATTTGACAAAGAGAGGAATGTACCTATCGAGTGTAACAGCGAGGAATCACATATGCCTGGCACATTTTGTGTCAAATATACTGAGCAAAGTCCACGTGGTTTCATTTGTAAGTATATTTATTGAAATAACATTTAGTATCTAGAAGTAAGCAATATCTAAAAAGAATATTATAGTTAATATGATTTATTCTTATTTTCTATAACGAAAATATAATTAGAATTACTTTTTTTATTAGTTATATCATTTAGAGAGAGTTGTATTTATCATTGTTGATGCATCCAAAACATTCCAATTTTAATATGTCTATTTACATATAAATTTTATTTATTTTATTTAATAAAAAATTTTTTATAATTAAATAAAGACACGACCTATTTTTTGTGATTACATTTTCGAAGATATAAATTAACTATAATAAATCAAGTTCTTTAAAATTTGTGCTACCTAAAGAAGTTGTAATAGAATTACAAAAAAATTAAAATGTTTAGAATTATAAAAGTATTTCTTTATACACATTTTTATGCAGAGACTTTATATATGCTATATTTAATAAAAACACCACTATGTAATGACGAAAATGATTATCTTATTTATAAATAATAGGTTAATATATTTAATATCCACAAATTTATTTTTGGATTTTGGAAAGAAATCTCACGTTAATTAGGAATATAGCTTTTAATCTAATCTTGTACGATAAAATTACGCGCTTTATAGAAAGTCGTCGAATGTATTAGCTGATATGCATATATGCGTATTTGCAGCATCGAATTCCGAGTTGTACGGGAAGTACGTAATTAATTAATTAATCGGCAATGTTTTAGGGGACGGTAGATGGCGACAGGTGATTCGACGATGCGGTTCTATCTCCAGTACTGGGGTCACGGGGGTTTGTAATTGGGGTGTTCATGAGAATGGCGTTTACTGGCAAGAATGTTTCTGCTCTGAGGATGCTTGCAACGCAGCATCCAACCTGATGTCTCTTACCACGCTGTTCCTCACGGCATGCTGTGCCATCGTTACTCTATCTTGTTTCAAGTGAAAAAAAGTTTTCTAATTATTTAAGTTTTCGAAATATGAAAACGGTAAGATAAATATTGGACTAAAAAGGATCAATATTAGAGCTTTTATATATTGTAGGAAACGAGAAGCTTAGATCACAACTAACATGCGCGCATAAAGAATGGCACAGATGTTTTTTTTTAAGGAATTTTGGAGTTGATTTTTCTTAGCAAAGTTTTAATTAGATATTATAAATATTTTCCATATTTCTGTTTAGTATTCAAAATTCAATATGTATTTAAAATTTATTAAAATAATTAAAAAGTAAAAAAACATGATATGCATATATCTATAAAAAATTTTGTTTTCAAAATTTGTAATATTAAATACACAATTTTTTAAATATACAATTTTTATAATAATTTATTAAATATACAATTTTTATATACAGATAATCGTTGAACCATCGTTAGAAAAAAATCAACTCCGAAATTGCCAAAGAATATACTCTGGTTCCAGTTTAAGGAGCCAGCTTGTAAATACATTAAATTTAATCTGTCCATATGCTGTACATTAAAAGCAGATCTCCAGAATTCTCATTTGTAAATAGTCTAACAGTAAGATATATGTATATCTATCTATCCGTCCATTTAGCATTACTAAGAAATGAATTATTATTCTGAAATTCCAATTAAGCTATTATATATTTTTTATAAAACAATTATATAATTATCTAAATTTAATTTTAAAAAGGACTAATTAAAAGTTAATTAAGTTTTAAGACGATAGATCTGTTATTACATTTTGAGATAGATGTGAAACAAATTTAAAATATTCGGAATAATCATGAGACAAACCTATTGTTTTTAATATCTGATTGTCTCAATGAGATGACACATTATTTTTTTACGAGAAATTAAAAAATGTTTTAAATTTTATTAAAATAAATTTTATTATAAAAAAGTGCCTTTTTGTATACAAAGGTAGTGTTCAATCGGTAATCTATTTAGAATAGAACGTCAATTATATAAAACACTGACTTTAAAACAACGAGTTAAATCGCATGTATTTTACATTAGTGTAGAAAATTATTTCATAAATTAAAATCTTTGAAGACTCTACAATTTCGATTGAGATTGAAAATTTGAATGTTGCGATTTTCAACAGTGCGTCATAATAATTTCTGTTATAGATAAATAAAGAATCTCGTGCACCTTTTTTCACATGTTGCTTAACATGTCATCGCCTAAAAACTTGCGACTCGTTTATATCGCAGCCTTTTGTAGTTTTAAAATATTTTATATTTTTCTATGTATATGCATGTATTATGTGATTAAAAAAAAACAGACTTATTGTTTAATTGTATACAATTTTATTATATATAAATAAATAAAAAAGAAACACGTAAATAATTCTATACGTATTAAGTTAATACATATATTTTTACAAGAAAACTTTCATTAGAGAAGACTCAAATAAATGAAAAAAAATATCCTCCCCAATATTAAAAATGTATTTAGTTAATAAGAAAACTTAGGCCTACATTTTTGCAACTTTGAACGCGTTGCTTGAAGCTTTACGTTTCATTTCATTCTTTTTTCCCTCTCGCAGATCTTTTTCGCAGCTTTTTGTGCGGCCGTGAATCTTTGAGAAGTCATTAAACGTGCTCGTCTACGTCGCATGCGGTAACATTAGCGGAGCGGAAAAACACGGTGAAAATGAAACCTACTTTTGTCTCTCGACTTGACTGACTTTTTGCGATGGTCCTAAGGAGAAAGCACGCCTCGCAAGCTGGGAGATTAATGTTTTCCGCGGCAGCGCTGATCGCATCTGCGCGAAATTCTCATTTGCTAACTGTTTACGCCTGCTTAAGTACAACTTACGCTATTTCAGCCGCGTTTAATGCCATGACTGATTAAACTATCCTTTCTTATCTAGATTTATGGCACGTACTTATCTGATGCTTATATGTTTATACGCTTTTATCTTATTTAACTTACAGTCTTAATTAATTATTTTTGAAGAATATCTTTCTTAAAAAAAATCAGAGTATTTTCAAAAATTCAAATATTTTCGAAATTAAAGAAATTAAGTAATTAATTACTGTATATTACATGTAAAATTATATTTCCTTAGTCAGACCAATAAAAATTAATCTGTTTTTATAATATAAAATTAATAAGTTTGAAAAGTATAAATTAAAATTTGTTAGACTTTTGCCAATTTGCGTAAACTATTATTTTTGTAAATCATATTTAATTCTCCCTTACTTTGTATCTCTCAGTAAAACTAACAGTAACATAACATCAGTGTTCACACTCAACAATATAAATGTAGTGTAATACAAGTGTTACATAATAGTTACATGATTGAGTGTAAAATTATAACATTAATGTTACTGTTAGTTGGTGTTTACTGGGCTATGATTATTAAAAGAAAGTTTGAAATATTTAACATAACAATATGAATTAAATTTTATCGTTCAAAAAGATGATTAGTGATATATATAATATCTATAAATAAGAGGTTTCTTTTCGTGACATTTAAACAAAGTACATCGACGACACGCCATATCCATCTTGTCATCGACACACCCGCAAACAAGCATTGTGTGCAAATAAATGATGGTTTTCGAACCGAAAGTTTGCGAGAAAGGATTGTGCCCGCTTAAATCCTCAGGCTCAGTGCGGATGCGACCCACTTCCGGTATCAAGCATGAGCCTGAGGACACCCTTCTGAACATATATACGCTACCCCGTAATGCCGGAAATTCGTCGGTTGCGAGTTAATTACGTCACGCGAGACTATTAATGCCTCAACAGATCCGACGTATGCGTTGTATGTACAACAATGGTCTCGGCTATTTAGGCCCTTCTCGTACATTACGTCACCACGTGCCAACCCTCGTTACTCGAGGCGTCGTACGATAATTAAGCTCGTCGCTGCCGGAGCGTTAAAGCAGCAACAGCAACATTGCTGGTGGTTAATAATATTTTGGAAAGATCTTATCATGCACCGATCCTTTTCCACTCCTAATATAACACCGGAAGATTTCCATGGAGGTTTACACCGAAGAGTGATGTTTGCCTTCCAGGATGTACTTAGATTGTACCAGGTGTCTCGCAATCAACGCTCCGTAGTTTGTTAGATATTAGAATTATTGACTGTTAATATTGCGTACGAAAATTGTTGTAAGACAAATGATGAATTCTTTTGTGAATGAAATTTTAAGTGTAATTATTTATATTTTCCAAGTTTATATTGAATAGATCCTGTTACGGAATTTATATATATATATATATATGCTTTCTAAGATAATTTATATCAAAAATAAAAAAATCATAGTAATCAAAAGTATTTCTTAATACTCTGAAATTCTTAATAATGCTGAATTTCTTGATTGAATACGAATAATAATTTGTAAGTTAGAATTAATAATTTTACAGCAGAGCAAAATTAAATTTAAAATTCTCTCAAAAAACTTGAATTCCTCTGTATCATTAGAGACGCAAAAGATTGTGAGTTTTGTGGAGAAGTGCTGTATATTAGTGATCTTCATGATCGAACATTTTATTGTCCATGGTACAGGGTGGCTCAATGGCTTCTAGTTGTTATTACATCAAGGCATGCTTAATTAGTCGTCAGAAGGGTGGAAAGTACGCAAACCGCCTCTCTAATGATCCTTCTTATTTTCATAACGCGTGAAGTTAGCTCCCCAACTTTACAAAAAATTAACTTTCTATGGCTCATACTTATCGTTTGAACATTTCAAATTTTCGCGTTTGCATATTTTGGGCAATATTCATAGTCGATTCTTATATTCAAGACCGTCTAAGTATGATCTTAAGATGTCACGAATCAATCAGACAACCATATGCATCGATCTTAAAATAAGGCTATGAAGACCGGCTTTCCAGTAAAAAAATTATTCAAAAAACAATTTTAAGTGTGACCAACTTCACACTAGCCCTCCCAACTAATAACACATTCAACAGATCGAAAAAGTTTCAATCGATAAATTTTCGTTTGCATATTTCGAAACAGACCAATTATATATATATATATATATATATATA